CTTGAAGGGAGGGGCAGAGGGGGAGAGTGAAGGAGAGGGAGAGAGAATTTCCGGCAGACTCCCAGCTGAGCGCAGAGCTTGATGCGGGGCGATCTCACGACCCTGAGGTCATGACCTGAGCCCAAACCAAGAGTCTGACACTTAACAGACTGAACCACCAGGTGCCCCACCCCCACCTTTTAAAAATTTCTGTTGTTTTTTATTTATTTATTTTTATATGTAAGCTCTATGCCCAATGTGGGTCTTGAATTCATGACCTTGGTGACTGGCTTCTTTCACTTAGCATAATGGCCTCAAGGTTCATCTGTGTTGTAGCATGTGTCAGAATTTCCTTCTTTTTAAGGCTGAAGAATATTCCATTGCATATAGAGAGCACATTCTGCTCATCCATTCGTATCCAACAATGGACATTTCGGTTGCTTCCAAGTTTTAGCTATCGTGAGTAATACTGTTATGAACACAGTTGTACAGATATCTCTTTGAGACCTTGCTTTCAATTCTTTGGGGTATATACCCAGAAGTGGAATTACTGGATCATATGGTAGTTATATTCTTAATTTTCTGAGGAACTACCATATCGTTTTCCACAGTAGCTGCGCCATTTTACATTTCCACCCACGGTGCATAAGGGCCCTGATTTCTCAATATCCTTGTTAACACTTGTTCTTTACTTTCTTTCTTTTTTTAATGATAGGCATCCTAATCGGTGTTACAGTTACCTTTTGATGTGTGTCAGGGATAGCCCTCTATGTGCCCATTTACCTTTTCCTTTTTTTTTTTTTAAGATTTTATTTATTTATTTGAGAGAGACAGAACATAAGAGGGGAGAAGGTCAGAGGGAGAAGCAGACTCCCCGTGGAGCTGGGAGCCTGATGCAGGAATCTTTCCTGGGACTCCAGGATCATGACCTGAGCTGAAGGCAGTTGCTTAACCAACTGAGCCACCCAGGCGCCCCACTTACCTTTTCCTAAATCCCTCTTTCCTTGGTTTCTGGGATATCACTATCTTCAACTTTTCTTCCTACCTTACCCCTACACCTTCTGAGTCTCCCTGTCTCCCTCTCCTCTCCCCAACCTTTGAATGTTGGAGTTCCATAGTTCACAGTCCCAGGCTCTCTTCTCTCTCATCTCCCCTTTCTAATGATCTAATTCACCTCTAAGACTTTATATATTCATTAATTCTTCTTAACCAGCTTTACTGAGGAATAACTCTGCCTTCCTTTTTTTTTTTTTTGAGATTTTATTTATTTATTTTGAGAGAGAGGAGAGAGCAAACAGGGACAGAGGCAGAGGGAGAGAATCCCAAGCAGACTCCATGCCCAGAGTAGAATCTGACTCAGAGCTCCTTCTCATGACCTGAGCCAAAGTCAAAAGTCAACACTTAACTGACTCAACCACCCAGGCACCCCCTAACTCTGTCCTTTTTAAGAGCACAACTTGATAAAGTTTGACACCTGTATGTAGTGATGTAATCACCACTGCAATAATGGTATAAAACATTTCCATCACTCCAAACTGTTCCCTTTCCACTCAATCTTCCCACCCCCAGACCCTGGCAACCACTGATCTGATTTCTCTCATTATGGTTTTGCCTTTTCTGGACATTCACATAAGTGGGATCAAATAATATGTAGACTTTTGTGTCAGGCTCCTTTCACATAGCATAATGTTCTCAAGATTCATCTGTTTTGTTGCATATATCAGCAATTCATTCCTTTCAATTGCTAAGTAAAAGTCTATCATACCAATGTGCTGCAGTTGGTTTTCCCATTCACCAGTTGGTGGACATTTGAGTCGTTTCCTGTTCCTGGTAATTAGGAAAAAAGCTGTTATGAAAATCCATGTACAAGTATTAGTATGGACATAGGTTTTCATTTTTCTCATATTTACCTGAGTGTCACCACTGGGTCATATGGTACGTATACTTTATAAGAAACTGCCAAACTGTTTAGTAATTTCTGACTGGAAAAAAAATATTTACTAACTTGTAAAATTATTATAAAAATACTGTTAAACAGAAAAATAAATGTATTAAATTATATATTTATTTCATTTCCTTCCTTTCTACTGAGGCAAACTTACATATATCAAAATATAGCTTGATTAATTGATACATATGTACATATATATGTAATTATAAGTCCCATCAAGATAGAGAATATTAAAGCATCTCAAGAAGGCTACCTTGTGCCCTTTCCCAACCAATATCCCTTAGTTAAGTACTATTCTGACTTCTGTCACTTAGTTCTGCCTGGTTTTGAACTTCATACAAAAGGAATCATACAGTATGCACTCTTATGGTGCTTCTTTTATTCAGTGTAATACTTCTGAGATTCCTTCACATTATTTTGCATAAGAGCAGTTTGTTGGTTTTCATTACTATATAGTATTCTATTTTATAAGTATATGTATATCCATAGTATATATGTATGTATATATGTATATTCATTCTTTTGTTGGATACACATGCATTCATATATCTTGGATACATGTCTGCGAGTGGAATTGCTTATGTGAGTCAGTCAAGGTAAACAGGTGCATGCTTAGCTTTTGTAAATATTGCCAAGCAGTCTTCCAACGTAGTCGCATCAATTAAAGCTCCCACCATAGAAGAGTTTTGTTTGTTGCACCTCCTTGGTAACACTTAATGTTATCCATCCTTGTACACTCCCATCACTTTAAACACCATCTCTGTGTGAACTCCTTCCCTTGATCTCTATCTCTAACCCCAGTGCTCTCCCCACCACACAAATGGCGTGTCCAATTGTCAATGTGACATTTCTTCTTAGATGTCTTGTGGGCATCTCCAAGATAACAGGTCAATGCAAAGCTCTTAAGTCCTCCTTCCTTGCAAAGGGCTCCTTCCTCTGATTTCCTCATCCTCATAAAAAGCATCATGATCTTCTTAGCTTGCTCCTGCTAAAAACCTGGACTCCTCCTTCTCCCTCACTTCCACATCCAATCTTTCAGTGAAGTTGCTGTAATCTATTTCTATAATATATCCAAAATCTGTCCACTTCTTCCCACCTTCACACTGCTCCGCTAATGCAAACCACCATCATTCTTTTTTTTTTTTTTTAGATTTTATTTATTTATTTGACAGACAGAGATCACAAGTAGGCAGAGAGGCCGGCAGGGCGGGGGTAGGCAGGCTCCCTGCCCAGCAGAGAGCCCGATGCAGGGCTCGATCCTAGGACCCTGAGATCATGACCTGAGCCGAAGGCAGAGGTTTTAACCCACTGAGCCACCCAGGTGCCCCAAACCACCATCATTCTTGACTGCACTACTGCTCAGCAGCCAGAGGGAGCTTTCTAAAAAATAAACCAATCACATTGTCTCCTTGCTTAATGCCTTTCTGTGGCTCCCTAATGCTCTGACATGAAATCTAACTTCTCAGCTTGGCCTGAAAGGCTGAGAATGATCTGGCCCCTGACCATCTCTCTGACTTCTCTTCTTATAGGGAACTGACCACATTCCAGCTATTGCCTTTTCCTAAATACATCAGGCTTGTTCCTACCTCAGGACCTTTGCACGTGCTGTTCCCTCTGTCTGATAAGCTCTTCCCTCAAATTTTTGCCCAGCTGTCTCCTTTTCATCTATTCAGGACTTAACCCAAATGTCTCTTCCCTCAAAAAGGCTTTCTCTGACCATCTTAGTTAAAGTTGCCCCTCCATATGCCAGGCATTCTCTATTCCCTCACCCCCTCGTATGTTTCATTATAGCTCCTGTTTTCCTTATGTAATCACTTACTTCCTTAATGCTCATATCACCCACTAGAATATAAATCCCCAAGGGTCAGGGGCTGTGTTCCTACTGTCCTGTTCACTATGGTAGCCACCGGCCATGGGTAGCTATTTGACTTAAATTAATTTAAAGTAAATAGAACTAAGAATTCAGTTCCTCAGTTACACTAGTCACATTTCAAGTGCTCAATATCCACCCGTGGCTAGTAGCTATCCTATTGAAGAGAGCAGACAAAGAAAATTTGAAGAAAGTTCTGTTGCACAGCACTGCTCTAGAACCCAGCTACCCAGTAAGTGTGCTATAAAGGTATTTTTAATTCTTCATCTTATGGATGAGAAAAACATAGGCCAGAGAGGTTGTGTTATTATCCCAGGGTCACACAGCCGGGAAGCTGCCTAGCAGGGATTTGAACCCATGATTGTTTTGCTCCAAAGCACGTGCTACTCTCTTTCTTAAGAGCCAGAAGCCTCCTGGTTATTTAGAGAAGCACAGGGCTCTCCGATACTCTTACACATTCTCCAAGGCTGAGCTTGTACCTAACTGACGAAAGTGTGGGGAGTTTCACATAAGGATTATTGCCCAAGGTGCAGAGGGATCTAGGGTCAGTCTTGATTCCACTCCGGATCCACTGGCTGTTCCACCCTTAGTAAGTCTCTGCCTCTCTGGTTCTCAGCTGCATCTCTATAAAATGAAGAAAGTGACCTTATGGTCTGAGGGTTGGAGATGGCAGGCAGGGGACCTGGCGACTGGGTACACCTTTCAGATCCTGCCTGACTCTGAAGCAGGCCAGCATGAAGAGTGGGTGGGAGGTTGAAAGTGCTTTGGTTGGCTTGACCTACAACAGCAGCTCCTGCTTCTTGAATGCCTACAGATGAAAACGCTGAGGTTCAGAGGGGTAAAGTAACTTGGCCCAGACTACATAGCAGGGGAACTGGCGGAATTGGGATTCGAAGATGAGACTCTACAATCCCACGCGCGTGCCATGCAACCATGGTCGGGACCCACAGGAGTCATTGGGAGGCATTTACCGGTGAAAGGTGGTGAGTTCCCCGTCTCTGGGGGGGTGGGGTGCAAGTCGGTGCCGGGCGACGCACGGAGCTGTCGCTGGTACCCGTGCGGAGACCGCAGAGCCTCTCGCTGGCCCCCTTCCGCCTCCCGCCGCTGCCCCGGCCGCGGCGAGAGCTCTGCACCACCCGGGCGGGGCGGGGGCTGCTATTTCTGTCTGGTGAGCCCAGCCCGCCCGCTAGGCGGGGGAGGGGGCGCCCGCGCCGCCATATTCGCTCCCGCCGGCCTGCCCCGCGGCGCGCAGCCACCATGAGCACCGCCGCCTTCCACATCTCCAGCCTCCTGGAGAAGATGACATCCAGCGACAAGGACTTCAGGTGCGCCCTGCTGCCGGCCCCCCGCCTCTGCGCCCCCCATTGAAACTCCGGCCTTCTTCGCCTCCCGCCGCGCCGGCCCATCCCCCACGGGCGTGCAGCCCCTACCCCTCTGCCAGCGTTAAGCTCCACCCCTCCCGTGACCGAGACCCCAGCCCCTGCCTTTCCCGCCCTCTGCCCCTGGCACTCTGCTCCCCGCGCCGCAGCCCTGTCCTCTATGCAGTCCCTGCTTGGTCTCCCACCGTTCGCGCGTCGCCCCTGCCCTGTTGCCTGGTGGGAGCCCCAGCTCCTCTCCTCGGCACCCTTCCTGTGCCTTCTCTCTCTCCATCTGTGCCCAGCCCTCATCTCTCCCCGCAGCTGACGCACCCAGGCCCCCCACCTCTACCCACGGTGAAGCCCTCGGCTCCTCCTTGGGGATTCCAGCGCCTGTCCCTCCTTCCCGCATTGAAACCCAGCCCCTTCCCGGGCCCACAACCCCGGGACCAACTTTTCCACCGCTACCCTCTGCACCCTCAGCTCCGCCCTCTTCTCCTCAAAGTCACCCCAGGCCTCCTGCCTGCGCTTCATCAGGGCATCTTCTCCTCTCCCCGCCCCTCCCAGGTTTGCTCTGACACGGGCTGTAGGAGGGGTCTGGGCTGAGTGGCTTTGTGGGTCCCAGGGAGAAGATGGTTGGGGTAGGGGCTTCAGCTTTTGGGTGCCACTCCCCTTCACTTTGTTCCCATTTCGCCAGACATCACTGAGCCCACACCGGAACAGAGCTGGAAAGAATGGAGGAAACCTCTCCTCCAACCCCCTCATCCTCAGGGGGAAACTGAGGTCCCTCCGGGATGAAGGGATTGACTCTGGTCACACAGCCAGTTCTGGACCCTGGGAGCTGAAAGGAGCCTACAGAGAACAACATAGCCCACTTATTGAACATTCTGTCACTTTATCCCCAGTTTACAGATAGGGAAATGGAAGCTCAGAGTCAGGAAGGGGACAGTTGCAGTCACAGAGCTATGAAGTGGAGGATGTGGGGTCCAAATCCAGGTCAGTCTTCGAACAGAGGCTGAGATCTTAGCGAGGCTATCGGAACCAGCCCTCTGACAGGTGAGGACTCCCCACCTCTCCTGGTCTGACTCCCACCTTCTCCTGGCACCCCTGAACAGCCTCTAGTAGAGCTTTAGGACCACGGTGCTGGGTTCAGATCCTGCCCCCAACCACTTACTGGCTGTGTGACTCTAGACTTCTGAGCCTCCACTTCTGTTTCCAGAAGATTGGATAATAATAGAACCCACCTCAGAGAGTTCATGTGAGTTTGAAAAGAGTTAATACATGTGCAATGCTTTGATTCGTGGCTGACACCAGATAAGTGCTTAGTAAGTTGACGCTTATGATTATGCACACATCAGAAATCTGCCATGCCTTCTCCCCACTCTTTACCTGTAGTCCCCCACCCTTCATTTCCTCCCTTCATCTGGCTAGCTCCAACTCACTGTCACCTCTTTGGGATGCCTTCTGACATCCAGGCAGGGCTGGGCACCTCCCCTGGGCTCCCACAGCACCTGTCCCACCCCATGTTTCTACTGCATCACTTCTAGCCTTGAGATATCAGAACCCCTGCACTGGGACTGTGTGCTTCCTTTTTGCATCCTAGAGCCTGTTCTGGGTACATAGCAGGTGCGCAGTGAATGTTTTCTGGGTGCCAGGCTCCCTGCTGGGCTGTCCAGGGCAGTCTCATTCAGTCCACCCAGTGGTCTGGGTGGTAGTGATTGTCCTTCCTGTTCTCCAGAGGTTCAGAGAGCTGAAGTGACTTGCCTATAGCTGGCTAGTGGCTGAGGGGATTTGCACTCCTGTCTCTTGGGCCCTGGGTCCAGTCTCTAGGAGAGGGAGTTGGCTCCTGCCAAAGCCTAAGAAGCCCTTTCAGCCTGCTCTGCCGGAGAACACTTAAAACCATCCCAAGCATATGAGAAAGGTGTCTATTTTTAAAGTCCAAATACCGGGAAGGCTAAGTCCTGATGACCAACTGTCCAGGTGCCCATGTGGCCAAGTGTTTCAGCTGAGTTGTCTCTCTGGAATGAAACTGAAACTGTGTCCTCTGGCTTCTAGAGACAGGTGGTGACTGCATGTGGGAGTCCCAGGCAGGGTCAAGTAAGCTGTTGATTCCTGTTGTCCCTCTGTGGGCAGGACGCTGCTCCTTTCCCACTCAGACTCTAGCAGCCAGATGGATAAACTGGGGTGGGGTGGGGGTCTTTCAGGAATTCCTAAATCATTTTTCAAAAACACAGTAGTATTTGTTGAAGAGTTAGGAGACCTGAATGGTGTGCTGAGGCTCCTCCCAACTTGCTGTGTGACCTTGGGCATTTTGTGGAGCCCCTCTGAGCCTGGTTTCCCCATCTGCCTCATGCTAAAAGCTGGATGTCCTATTGAAATCTCTTGAAGATGTTATGAGGTGAGGCAAAGAAAATTCCCACTTCAAAGGTGGAAAACTGAGACTCAGGAGTCGCTTAAGGTGACCTAGTTGATAAGTGGCAAGACCTATATATTTACTTAAAGCCAAACTTCAGGGGTGCCTGGGTGGCTCTGTCAGTTCAGCAACTGACTCTTGATTCCAGCTGAGGTGATGATCTCAGGATCGTAGGATTGGGCCCTGTGTCAGGTTCTGCACTTGGTGTGGAGTCTGCTTAGGATTCTCTCTCCCTATCCCTCTGTCTCCACCACCGCCCTTTCATGCTCTCTCTAAAATAGATAAATAAATCTTAAAAAAAAAAAAAGGCAAACTTCAGTGCTCAAACTCTTATCTACCAAGTTATATGCTTTGCTGTACATCCCCCACTGTCAACACCATGTACGTATTACAATACGGCTTTCTTTCTCTGAGAGCTGGTTATTTGCAAGAACTCGGGGGTGTCTGAAATGCTGAGGCATATCTCAGAAGGGTTGGTTTCTGAGTCCAGGTTTCCACACAGCTATTGGCTGCCAGGGACTGCCTCTTTCCCTGCCTCCCCTCCTGCCCTCACCCTACCTCCCAGGCCCTCTCCAGACCTGTTCTTTGCTGGGTCTGGAGTCCAAGAGATGAACCTGATGGGCTCCCATGAGTTCATATTCTAATGGGGAGACACACTGGTAACGAAGTGTGTAATGCAGTTTGGGGAGTGCTCCGATGAGGAATGTGGAGTGCTCTGAGAGAATCCTATCCAGGGGAACCAAGTGTGATTAGGGAGTGTGGGTCGGGGTTAAGGCACGGTGATCAGAGGAGTCATTTCTGAGGCTTGGACATTTGAGCTGGGTCATTGACGATTGAATAGGAGTTCCACAGAGAAGAAAGAGGGGGACAGGAGGCTCATCTTGGGCAAAGGAACATGTTCCTTCAATTGCCAGGCTGAGCTGGGTCTCTATGACCTGCAGCAGAAACACAGCTTAAAGACCCTTGCCTGCCATCTCATAATGTCCCCTCAGCCAGGCAGACCTAGGAGTGCATGTTCCTAGCTCAGGCCTTAGCCTGGCCCAGATGCAAACCTCCTTCACCTTCCCTTTGCTGCTTCTCCTGCAACGACCAGGCCCAGAGGTGGGCATAGTCAGACCTGCCACTCCCTCCTGGCCTCCAGCCCAGCCTCCTCCTTTCTCTCAGTGATTGAGGCTAATCTCAGCTGTTAAAAATAAACAGCAGTGACATGGACAAGTGCCTTCCTGGCAACAGGGTGCTGTGAGTCTCCCCATGACATCAAGCAGCAGGTCTGAGCCTGCAAAGAAGAGGCTGGAATCCTGACTGTGATCACTTTTGCCACAGGATGCTTGGGAAGGACCATGGGGTTCTTGTTGGTAGAGCAAGCTCAAGCCTAAAACAAAGCTGGTGTGAGGAGGCAGGGTGGTCTGGTGGGTCAGCAAAAGCTGGAGGCTTTCTCTGGGGCTGCCACTCTCTGGCCCTGACTTTGCTGCATCTTTTCCCCTCCATTCTCTCCTCGAAAATGCTGGCAAGACCCAGTGAACAGGTGCAGTGGGCCTGGTAGGAACCTGGTCAGCTGGAGATAGTGTCCCACCTAATGAGGGCAGCCGTGCCTTGACCAGACAGTTATTGTCACCAGGGGATATTGGCCCAGTTGTATTCAAAGACTCTATTTTTGGGGCACCTGGGTGGCTCAATGGGTTAAGTGTCTGCCTTCAGCTCAGGTCATGATCCCGGGGTCCTGGGATCAAGCCCCACGTAGGGCTGCCTGCTCAGCTGGGAGTTTGCTTCTCCCTCTCCTTCTGCCCCTCTTCCTGCTCATGCTCTCTCTCTCTCAAATGAATAAATAAAATCTTAAAAAACAAAACAAACAAAGACTATTTTTAAGAGAATCTGGTAATTACAACTTTTACATCAACTCCCCCAGTTTCTCAATGTTGTTAAATCAAATTTTTGAAAAATATCTTCAAGGAGGACACAGCTGAGGGCTGCCAGGTAAAGGCTGCTCTGCCTTCTTAATCTGGCCAGGAACCATGATGCTCCTGCAGCTCCAGCTCCTGGCCTCCCAGCTCAGACTCCCTCCGCAATTTCAACTCCCTGGGACACAGTATCAGGCCACATGGGTCTGCACATCTGTGGGTGAGCAGCTCTTGGCTCTGATGCCCATCCCAGGGTCAGGGAGCCGTGGCTGGGGACTGGCCAGCTGTTGACCTCAGTGTCTAAGATATGCTTGCAGCCCATTAGCATGGCCTAGGACAGGAGTTCTCAGAGTGTGGTCCGTATTTCTTAGGATTTGTGAGAGATCCAAATTCTTGGGCCCCAGCTCAGACCTGATTCCAGAAACCTTGAGAGTGGGGCCCAGCAGTGTCTCACAGGCCCTGCAGGTGATTCTGACGCCAGCTACAGTTTGAGAACCCGTGGTCTGCAGGCAGGGGCTGAGTGGGTTCTCTGAGGCGGAGCTGGGCAGGGCTAGCCCCACTCCACCTCTCTGATCGAGAGGTGTCTGTTCGACCTTCTGGCATGAATGAGATGAATGGTGTAACAAGCTGTTGGGATAATGGTGGTGCAACTTACTGAGTGCTCACTGTGTGCTCAGGGCATCACGTACATTATTTCATTTTAACTTCCCTAAAACCCCACAGGGCAGGTGCTGTGCTTATCCCCATTTTTCTGACAGGTAAACTAGGGCTCCAAAAGGAGAAGTGACTAGTCCAAGTTCACGGTTCCATGAGTGATAGAAGCAGGGGCCACCAAACTCAAAGTACTCAGCATTTAGCCAGCATGCTCTGACACTCCTAGTCTGCTAGGACGTGGCGGTTGGTATCTCACCCATGGGTCTCCTGGTGGTGGCCCGACTGCGCCTCCAACCCATATAATCTACTTGCCCTTCAGTCTTTGTATTGAGGTCTCCTCCTGGGGGAACTCTAAGATATTGTCCATAACACTGGGGCCCAGGAGCTGCTCAGTAATCCTCCTTTGCCCGCCTGCCCAGGTTCATGGCCACCAGTGACCTGATGTCAGAGCTGCAGAAGGACTCCATCCAGCTGGACGAGGACAGCGAGCGCAAGGTGGTGAAGATGCTGCTGAAGCTGCTGGAGGACAAGAACGGTGAGGTGCAGAACCTGGCCGTCAAGTGGTGAGTGTTGGCCTTGGTGGGGATGGGGCAAGGCCAGGTGTGGGAGAACACCAGGGGTCCCTGCCCCTTTGGGGGACAGTCTCTGAGAGAGTAGTTGCTGTGAGCAGCTCTTGAAGCCCCAAAGGAGTTGGACAGCGCTTTGGTCTGGATTCCCCCAGAAGTAGACCCAGTGGCAGGGATTCTAGTGCAATTTTATTTGGGAAGTGATCCCAGAAAACTCCGGTAGGGGAACAGAGACGTGAGGTAGGGAAGGAAGAAAGCCAAGAATGTGTGAAAGATCAGGCAAGTTACTGCTGAGGGCCAGTGGAGCTTAACCCTACTGGGGGCCTTTGGGACACAGTGTAGGACACACCCTGTGGAGTGTTCTACCCGAGGGCTGTCAGGCTGGTTGAGAGCTGCTCCTGGGGTAGCGTGTAGCATGGAGGGCTGTGTATTCCATGACCCCTCCTGCCAGAGAAAGCCCTCAGGATGAGATGCAGGCACTGGCAGCTAGAAGGTCATGCCGACATGCAGAGGGAGTAGTGAGAGCTGAAGGGCCAGAGGGGCCCCAAAAGCCTTTGCCCTAGGCACCTTGAGACTGCAGTCCTGAGACCTTGGCCAGTTACCTTTGGAGCTAAAAAACCAAGATGAGGTATGTGCAGGGCACACGAGGGTGTGGGTCGGTGGAGGACTGAGGAATGGCAGGGGTCAACAGTCAACAGAGAATTGGGGCATTGCCCGTGGAACGGCACTCTGTGAGCTGGGCCCAAGCATTCTGGGCCGTCTTCATGAATTTCAACTTGATCCCAAGAACAGAGGAAATTCAGTAGAGTTTCATGCAGGAACATGACTTGGTCATGTTTGTAGTCTGGAAGCATGTCTCTGGCCATGTGGGGGAGAGAGGGTGGATGGTGGTTTCCCACCAGCAGAACCAACAGTACAGTAGTGTGTGTTCCCGTATGTGAATGCTTGGGCACATTGACTGAGGGAATAATAAAGTCATGAGAAGCCAGCACTAACTGTGAATGCCGTGGCCCTTGCCGGGTAGGTGCGAATGCTGGGGACTCAGCTCCCACGAGCAGCACTGTGGTGCTGATTTTCTGAATTAGCCATGAGATTTCCTGAAATGGCAAACATCTCCTGGTAGGTTTCCAGAAATCAAAGTACAGTCTTCCTTCTTGGGGAATTTAGAACATATTAAGATAGTGGGAAAAGTACTTTGTATGTACTTTTTACTTTGTATGTAAATTGTATGCAAATTGAAATTAGATTTTGGACTCAGATAATTATGGAAAGTTTTTTTTTCCTATATGAATGGCCAGTGGGGTGTTAGAAACTCCACTGGACATGGAACATATTTTGTTTTGCAATATTGTCTTTCCCAGCCACATGCATCCCCCCACTCCAAAATAAAAGCCAGAAGTGACATTTCATTAGTTATGACCAAAAATGCCCCCATAAGTTTCTAGAACTCTCCTGAGGGTACTACACCCCAATCAAACTATAGAAGGCAGAAAGGGGAGACCACATAACTACTTAGAAGAGTTGATGGAGAAAACCGTCAAAAGAGAGCCACGGTTTGTAAACTGGTATGCATTGCAGTTCCCTGGGACCTCTGCTAAAGCTATGTATTCCCCAGCAGGGATTCGGACTCAGGAGCAGGAGAGGTGGAGGGAGGAGTCTGAGGTAGGCAGGTGAGAAGGTAGCACCTGGCAATCTCCATTCAAACGCACACCCTCATCTCAGAATTCATTTAGGTTAGAGGTTCTCAATCTTAATTGCATGTTAGAATCACCTAGGGAATTAAAAAAGTAGAAACAGGGTCTCCTGGGTGGCTCAGTGGGTTAAGCGTCTGCCTTCAGCTCAGTTCCTGATCTCAGGGTCCTGGGATTGAGGCCCACCTCAGGCTCTCTGCTCAGCAGGGAACCTGCTTCCCCTTGTCTCTCTGCCTATCTTTCTGCCTGCCTCTCTGCCTGCTTGTGATCTCTCTCTCTCTGTCAAATAAATTAATAAAATCTTTTAAATAAATAAATTAATTAAAAAAAATTAAAAAACAGAAACAAACTCCCACTGTCCAGGCCACACCTGAAAACCAACTAACTCAGATTCTCTGGCGCTAGCACCCAGGTGACAGTTTTTTAAACGCCCCAGGTGATAGCAGTGCACAGTTAAGGCTGAGAACAAGTGTATCTGGTACAGTTATTTTTAAAATTTAATGTGGATTCAAATCACCTGGGGCCTTTGTTGAACTGCAGATTCTGGTTCTGTAGGTCCCGGGTAGGACCTGAGATTCTGCATTTCTGACAAGTTCCAGGTGATGCTGGTGAAGCTGATCTGTGACTGTGATTGGCAAAACAAGGCTCTAAAGCAGAGGTTCTCAAAGTGTGGTCCCTGGACCACCAGTATCAGCATCCACAGAGAACTTGATAGAAATTTAATTTCTCCGGCCCCACCTAGACCTCCTGAGTCTGAAAATGTGGGTGGGGCCTGGAAATCTGTTTTAACAACTCCTCCAAGAGGATTTTCATACATGCTCAAGTTTGAGAATCTCTTGGGCGTTCCTTGGTTTCCAGCTGAGGTTACTAGGTTCAGGGGTTTGGCCATATACTGACATGCAAAACCCAGGAGGAGGTGCTGGCTTGGGCGGTGCCAGGAATGATGTTGGCAGAACCAGAGGGTGCCTCTCTTTCTGGCAAATAGAGAGTCCCATGTCAATCTTGGGCCTTTTCCTCAGCACATGTGGCCCCATGGGCCTGAGGGAACCTAAGGGGCAGCATGACTCAGGCTGAGCCTGGGGCTTTTGGACATCCTCTTTCCCTCCCTGCTCAGCCTGGGTCCTCTGGTGGGCAAAGTGAAGGAGTACCAGGTGGAGACCATCGTGGATGCCCTCTGTGCTAACATGCGGTCAGATAAGGAGCAGCTCCGAGACATCGCTGGCATCGGCCTCAAGACTGTCCTGTCGGAGCTCCCTCCTGCAGCCACAGGTACCCAGGTCCCAGGGATTAGGCATTGTCATTATATTTGTCCTACTTTCTCATTAAAGAAACTGGGGCCCAGAAAGGTGAAGGTACTTCCTAACACCAGCCAGCTAGTAAGTGGCAGAAAATTCAGACCCAGCTCTGTTTTAAGTTCCTGGCTCTGTGTCAGGAAGGCTTTAGCTGTAAGTAACAAAAATCTAACTAATGACAGCTTGAGAGAGTTTGGGGTTGCTTTTCTCACAGAATTCTGGAGGGATCAGCCATTCCATTTTTGCACCAATTCATTCAGCAGCTTAATTAGGACAGGGGTAAGGTCTCTGCATCTTTTAAGAAGAGCACATGCTTCCCCAGAAGCCCTCAGAAGGCTTTGACCTATATTTCACTGGCCAGAGCAGGGTCACTTTGCCCCTGCTAGCAGCAAGGGAATCTAGGCAAGGAGCTTTCCTTGCCTCCCTCGTTAGCAGGTACAAGGCAGAGGGGCTGGGTGTCGGGTGAGTCAGCCATCAATTCCTCAGCTTCCCTGGCTGTCAGACTCTGGGTCAGACCTTGGGCCACTCAAGGCCAGGGTCAGCTGGATTCTTGGGGATGTAGGCTCAGGAATATAACCAGAGCAGGGCCACCAGAGGTGGCAGCCAGCCCTGGGCCTCACTGTGCCATCCCTGTGCTTTGTGCAGGCTCTGGCCTGGCTGCCAACGTGTGCCGGAAGATCACTGGCCAGCTCACCAGCGCCATCGCCCAGCAAGAGGATGTGGCTGTGCAGTTGGAAGCCCTGGACATCCTCTCTGACATGCTGAGCAGGTGCGGGAGGCCACCCTGGGCAAGGAGGAAGTGGGGAGGGCGACACGGGGACAGAGAGGGATTCAGATCCACAGAGCCAGCACTTAACTGCACACCAGGCTCTGTGCTTGGTGCTCCTTAAGTGTCCTAGCAGCCCTGCAAAAGAGAGCTCCTTCATCACAATTCTATAGTCTCTGAGCCCTGCCCATGGTCACACTGTTGGTACCAAGGTAACAGTAAATGGCAGAACCTGGAGTTTGAATTCAGGTCACTCCAAGCCCCGAAGTCTATGTGTTCATCCTCTTCCTCATCCCCTTCTTCCTCTTTTTCTTCTTTTGGTCTAATAGAGCTGGGCCTTCATTTTAAATTGCACTCTACTCTTTAAAACTGTTCATTCATTCACCGTCCCAAGACTTAACACCTACACCATGACCCAGAAAGATGTCAGGTGTTGAACTGGTGCTGGGAATATGGTATTGCATGGGTCTTGGGCCCTCCTAGGGAGGAGCTCACAAACAACATAAACTAAGTGCAGTAAGAACAACAGTACAGAAAAGAGCAGAGCCTTTAGGAGCTCAGAAGAGGAGCTGGGGGTAAAAACCTTCCTTGAGAGGGTCCTGCTAGATGAGCCTTTAAGAATGGGCTGGACTTGGCCAGGATTGGGTGGGCAAAAGGGGGACACTGCCCGTGGCCCAGAGGGCAGAAGCTAGAGAAGACATGGGATCCTGGAGCTTGTGTGAGACAGCATGGGGCTGGGGTGTAATGTGGAGAGGCTGGTGTGGAGAGATGAGGCCGAGGGCTGAGCAGGAGCTGCAGGCTGGGTGACTAATGATGACACTGAATGTGTGAGGAGTGGGGGCAAGGGTCAGGGCAGAGGTTGAGGAATGCCTTGTGCATATTTGTGTGTTTCAGACTCCTTATCTGCTGTGTGTACGGTAGATGGCAGGGGTTGAATGGGCAGAGAGACTGGTTAGGAGGCTTCTGGGAGGGCACTCAGGTTGTATGTAGAAGATAGGCTCCACAGGACTTGGGGTGGGTGAGGGGCAAAGACTCAAAGATGACACCCGCGGGGTCTGGCTTTATGGGGAGAACAGCCACAGGGCCATTGGCTGTGGTGGGGTGCACTCTGGGAATAGGAGCAGGTATATGGGGAGTTCATTTGAGGAATGTTGAATATGAGGTGCCTGGGGGCCACCCACTCAACCAAATGCTCCATGAGGGCAGGCTCTAGGGCCAATGTAATCTCCCCCCAAGCTTCCAACACAGGCCCTGTAGCACAGTAGGTGAACAAACAAGTGAAAAATGAAATCTAGGAGAGCGAGCTGGGCTGGATATGGGAGTGTGAGGCCAGTGTGTTTTTGTGGAGCGAGAGAAGAAAAGGTCTCAGCATATGTATGGGACAGAAAATGCACAGGCCTGGTTTTGAAGGTGAGGATAGAGGCTGCTGCAGTGGGTAGGCGGCTGCATTCTCCCTGTGCAGAAGCCATTCTCTGGTTTTGCCTCTTGCCTTGAGCCCAGAGCTCAGCTTATCCAAAGAGCACTGGGGAACCACTGAAGGATTTGGACAGAGGACTAATCAGGTCAGAGGTAGACTTTAGACCACTGTGGTCTCAGTGAAGGGAATGGACTAACAGGGTGTGTGTGTGTGTGTGTGTATAGAGTGTGCCCACACTCCTAGGAAATCAGCCCCACTGGAGTCCCCCACATTCCATTACCATCAGGGCTTCTCCCCTGGCTAGCAACCTGGAAATCTGGATTCAAGTCCTGGCCTTGCCTTTCTTGGCTGAGTGGTCTCGAGAAAGTCCCTTCCCTTCTCTGCTTTCTCTTGTGTGATAATAAATAATTACTGCACACAGTTGCAGGGCGCCTTTCCATTTACCAAGGGCCATTGGGTTATCATAATTCCGGGGAGGAGGCCTGGAGAGGATGGGCAGAGGAGAGGTGCCTAGCCCAGGCTGCCTGCTAGGTAGGCCCCGTCCGACATCCTCTCTGACTCCCCAGGCTGGGCGCCCCTCTGGGTGCCTTCCACGCCAGCCTCCTGCACTGCCTGCTGCCGCAGCTGAACAGCCCACGCCTGGCCGTGCGCAAGAGGGCAGTCGGGGCACTGGGCCACCTGGCGGCCGCCTGCAGCACCGACCTCTTCGTGGAGCTCACGGACCACCTGCTGGATGGGCTGCCCGGCCCGCGCGCACCTGCCAGTCCGGCCGCCATCCGCACTCTGATCCAATGTTTGGGTAGCGTCGGCCGGCAGGCAGGCCACCGCCTCGGTAAGGGGGTGGAGCTCCACTGCAAGGAGCGGAGCCGAGGAGGGGAGGTGTTGCGGAGTCTGGGGCCGGAGACCTCCTCGGTGAGGTAGCGTGGCTGAGGCAGGGAGGTGCTGGGGAGAGGGGTGGGCCCGAGCTGAGAATAAGGGGCGGGGTGTGAGTGTGAGCCACCTCCCAGATAAGGGGGCGCGGCTGACACGCTTGAAACCGGGAGGCGGAGCTTGAGAGGCAGTGGGTGGGTCCTGAGCTCCATGGGCTGCTGAGCCTGACCTACCTATTCTGAGGCTCGTGGATAATAATAAATCATAACACCAAATGAAATTGAGTATGTTCTATTCTCCTACTTTGACAGATATACTTTAATAACAAGCCAGAGGCCAAGCTTGAATTTTTAAAACTTTTTATTGGGGCATAATGTATATTCAATAAACTGCACTACTTAAAGTGCATAGTTAAGTGTGTTTTGACCTTTGTAGACAGCTGTGAAACTACTACTGCAGTCAAGATGCAGAACATTTCCATCACCCCCTAAAGTGTCCTTGTGCCCTTTTTCAGTCCACTTCAGGCAAGCACTGCTTTGCTTTTTGTCACCAGAGATGAATTTTATAGAAATGGAATCCTGCAGGTTTGCATTTATTTTCAAGCATCTCGGAGTTCTGGGCTGTAACAAAACAGTGTGGGGAGAGTTGGCCATGGTCTGCCCCTTTTTCCCCTCTGGCTCTCTCACTTTAAGGGATTTTATGAACACACACAGGGACCCCACCCCGGAGTTCATCCTCTGTCCATATTCCCCCCTCAAACAACAGCCACCAGTTGGTCACTCTTGGGAGTATGAACCTGCAAGGGAGCCTGCATAGGACCAGACTAGGGTTCATGGTCAGTTGGACAGGAAAACGGGGAAGTCTGTGACTGGAGAAGGGCTGGGACAATCTTTAAAGTACCAAGAGCTGCTCTTGCCTGGTGCATAAGAGCAGTACCTGCATTTCCATGTTTCCCATCCAGGGCTGCAACCTAGTGCAGGGAAGAGGATGAGGACATGAGTAACAGTTTCAATGACAGATGCTTCTTGGGTGCCTACCAAGTGCCAGGACTTAGGGGGAGCTCTTTATGTGGATCATGTCATTAATCTTCACCCAAATCTCTGCCTGGTAGGCATTGTTATCGCTGTTGGAAAGACTAAGGTTAGAGAAGTGTTGTGATGTGCCCAAGGTCACGTAGCTCCTAGGTGGCAGAGACAAGGCTAGAACCTTGACATCTGCTTGATTCTGAAGCCACCAAGTTGAGTTTGCAGTGGTCAGGGCTGCAAGAGTAGGGACAAGTGCTGTGGGCTGAGGGAGCCTGGGAAAGTGTCTGGCCCTTAGTAACACAACTGGCCCTGTAGGGGCCCACTTGGACCGCCTGGTGCCCTTGGTGGAGGAGTTCTGCAACGTGGACGACGATGAGCTCCGGGAGTCCTGCCTCCAGGCCCTTGAGGCCTTCCTGAGGAAGTAGGTGCAGTGCGGGTGCCAGGAGATGGGGGCCCAGGGTTTCTCTGGGAATTTGGTGGGGAAGGGGTGGGGCAGGATGCTGGCCTCAAAACAATTAGATTCAGGACTCACCACTGGGCCCACCCCCTACCCTCTCCTGCCTGTCCAGCAGAGCCTCCCCCCCACCCCACCCACAGGTGCCCCAAGGAGATGGGTCCTCATGTGCCCAATGTGACCAGTCTCTGCCTCCAGTACATGAAGCATGACCCGAACTATAACTACGACAGTGACGGGGATGAGGAGGAGATGGAGACAGAAGATAATGAATTCAGTGAGCAAGGTAGGTGGCCAGCTTGTCACCGGGGCTGGAAGGCAGAAATGGGTGCAGCTTTCCTGGGATACCCCCCACATCCCCAGCCAAAAACAAGGCCTCACCTAGCACCCCCATCCTGATCTTCCTTGTTCTCCAGTCCTGCCCTCTGTGACCTGGGTTCCCCAAAGTCCCCACCCTATGCACAGATCTGGGTAATGATAGTGGTAATTGCTGTCATTTACTGAACATCTACTGGTGTCCTGAGCATTCTCATTTCATGCTCCTTCCAATAACTCTAGAAAACCAGGTGCTTGTTGTTATCACCATATTTCAGACAAGGAAACCTGGATTTAGAGAAGAGATTTGCCTGAGATAACACAGCTAGGAAGTGGCAAAACCGGGCCTTGGAACCCCCACCTCTATGCTGTCATCTCTCTGCCTGCTTAGTAATGGCTTCCAAGCAATGCTTTAACCCAGCAGAGTGAAGCTCTAATGGTGGAATGATAGATACTAACGGGGGAGAGATGCCTGGATGGGAAATGAATGCAGTGGCTTCCTTCCTTCTGTGCCTGTTGTCCTACCTGTCACTCAGACTGATGGCCCTGGGCCCTAGAAGCAGGGCATTGATGGAGGAGAGGGACTTGGGGTCTGGTGGGGTGCTCAGAATAAGATGGGATGGTGGGAGATAAGACTGGACTTGCGTGTTGGGGCCTCAAATCCCAGGTCAGGGAGGATGGGCATTTTCTCGTCAGTAGCCTGGAGCTAGGATGTTTCTTCCTGGGTGGCCTAGGGTGGAGGTAACAAACCTCAGTCCATCAGAGGACATCTGCTCTGGTGACAGGACATATCCATGGGACCATCCACATGGCCCTCTATGGCTTCTCCAGACACCAGTGCTCTGAAAGTTGTAGAAAGTCATCTACAGAGTGGCATGGGTAGAGAGAAGACACTGGCTTCTGGGTCTGTGCCTGGTGGTGTCCCTAGTTAGGACCATCCACCTCTTAGCTTCATGTGTGTCTCCCTAGGTGTATGCATGGGCCTCGTGGGCCTGAATCTCAGCTTTGTTGTTTCCTAGCTGTGTGTCCTCAGGAGAGTCTCACCCTCTCTGAGCTTTATTCTTGTCATCTATAAAATGACAAGAAGGCACCCTCATTCCTGAGGTGTGGTGAAGACTTGATGAGCTCTGTCCTCTCAGGGTGCTTGGAGAATAGAAAGCCACACAAACCCAGCTTTTCCTTGTTAGTAGTCCTGCTTGGAAGCCAGAATCAGGACTTGAGAGGCTGGGGGTAGAGGGAGGGAGGAAGCCAAAGCAAGGCCTGTCATCTCTCCCTTCTCAGTCCTAATAAGTGAAACATCACACAGTTCAGTTCTGACCAAGGATGGATTTTGTGCCCAAATGGATTCTCTGAAATCCTCACTAATGACTGTAAAGTTTGTTTTGTCCCTGATGTAGGCAAAACAGTGAAGGGTCTGGAGGCAAAGGGAGCATCCTGGTCTCACTCCAGCTATATCCCTGCTCAAGTAACTTGGGGTGAACCATTCTCCCCAGTTTCCACATCTCTACAGAGGGAAAATAACCCCCGTCTCACAAGGCAGTTAGTTGTGAGGCTCACATGAGTTTGTGGATCTGAGGTGCTCTGCATCACCTCTAGCACACAGTAGGTGTTCATTAAAGGGCAGGCAACCTTCCTCATAGCCTGTAAAGAGTCATCAAATGTTGGAACAGGCCTGGCTCCCTCCTCCCAGCCCCCTCCCGGCAGGCAGCCCTGGTGGGGCCAGGCTGCAGCACGCAGGGGGCTCCATGAGTATCCTGTTCCTGCCCTAGAGAGTGAAGACGAGTACAGCGATGACGATGACATGAGCTGGAAGGTGCGTCGGGCCGCAGCCAAGTGCATGGCAGCCTTGATTGGCTCCCGGCCTGACCTGCTGCCCGACTTCCATGGCACCCTGGCACCCGCGCTCATCCATCGCTTCAAGGAACGCGAGGAGAACGTCAAGGCTGATGTCTTCGGGGCTTACATTGTGCTGCTGCGGCAGACGCGACCCCCAAAGGGGTGGCTGGGGCCCATGGAGGAGCCCACCCAGACAGGCATCAGCCTCCACGTGCTGCACGGCCAGGTGGGCATGCCTCCTTCTATCTCCCATCCTCGCTCCCCGACTCAGGACTCACCCTCCCATCCATCCACCTTCCCATCGTTCCGCTGCCCTACCACCTGTCCACCCACTGATGTGTGTGCCCTGAGCCCTGAGTGTCCCCAGCCCTTGTTGGGTGCTGAGGCCCAGCGGGGACCGTGACAGGTAAGACACTGGCCTGTGGACCACACAGGCTGGGGACAGACAGACGGTGCCAGTGGGGCTTCTGGCCCCCTGAGAAGGAGTTTCAGTTTTATTCTAAGAGCCTAGAAGCCATAGGAGGGGAATTATAGGATCCTGTTCCCATTTGAAGGAGCTCACACTGGCTGCTGTATGGGGGGAATGGACTGTAACAGGGCGGGAAAGAATAGCTGCTGGAGGCCCGCAGCTAGTTGTCCAAGTGGAAGGGATGGTGCTGTGGGCTGGGAGTAGGGGAAAGAGGACTGGTTAGACAGGAGGGGACGTTTTTGGGTCGTGCTGATGGATTGGATGTGGAGGGTGAGGGACAGGAAGGTGTCATGTGAGTGCCAGATTCTGGCTAAAGCGTGAACTGCAGTTCCTTGACATGTGAAGGGAATATCTAAAGTTCTGTTCTGGACGTTTATGTGGGAGGTCCTTGGATGCCCATGTTCAGAGGTCTGCTGGGCGGCAAGCACACGAGTCTGACGTAGGAGATGTAGATCTGGGAGTCTTTGCCTCACTGGCATCGGAAGCTCAGGGGACAGTTGGGTTCCTCAGGGGAGAGAATCTAGCGAGGGAAAGGAAAGGGGCCTCAGTGCTTAACCCTCATGGAGTGTAGGGGTGAGAGCCAGACTGCCTTGGGTGACCCGGAGCAAGTCACTTCATCTCTCTGGCCTGCTCCCCCATCTGTAAAGAGGGCCCAGGAACAGGACCCACTGCAGAGGGTCTGCATATGGAATCAGGTGTCTGATATGGAGGGTGTGATGGAAAGCTGGGGATGGAGCAATCCTCCCCCACCCGGGGTCCTCCATGGGCCTGTCCCTGGGCAAAGTGCCCCACTACTAGGCGGGACAGCCAGCTTTCCTGGGTGGTCACTGATCTCCTGCAAACTGCCCACAGGTGCCTCTGGTGATCAAGGCCCTGCAGCGGCAGCTTAAGGATCGGAGCGTCAGGGCCCGCCAGGGCTGCTTCAGCCTCCTCACCGAGCTGGCGGGGGTCCTCCCCGGCAGCCTGGCAGAGCACATGCCTGTGCTGGTAGCAGGTAGGATGGACTGCAGCTGGCTATCTGCTGTCCTGTGCTCTTCCAGAACCCAGACCCCAGGCCTCAATCCCTGTGGGTACCCTTGCTCAGCAACCTACGGTGGCTCCCCACTGCCAGCATTGAGAACAAAGCTGGGGTACAGGCCCTACTTCCTCGTTTCAGAAGGGTTTCCTGGCCTTGTGTCCCTCCTCTCTGGCCCTGGACAAGCCCTGACCTTCTAGAATCTGCAGCCTAAGAGCCTAGGGGTCTGGGTCCAGCTCAGATGCCTGCAGATGCTCCACCCCCATAACCAGGGACTGCTTTGTGGCCCTATAACTTTTGCACCCACCCCACAGGCATTGTCTTCTCTCTGGCGGACCGTTCAAGCTCCTCCACTATCCGGATGGACGCCCTGGCCTTCCTACAGGGGCTGCTGGGCACAGAGCCAGCCGAGGCCTTCCACTCACACCTGCCAACTCTCCTGCCACCTGTGATGGCCTGCGTGGCTGACCCTTTCTACAAGATCGCGGCCGAAGCCCTGCTGGTGCTCCAGGAGCTGGTGCGGGCCCTGTGGCCCCTGGACAGGCCTCGGACGCTGGACCCTGAACCATACATTGGAGAGATGTCTGCGGCCACCCTGGCACGACTCCGTGCCACTGACCTGGACCAGGAGGTGAAGGAGCGCGCCATCTCCTGCATGGGCCACCTTGTGGCCCACCTGGGTGACCGGCTCAGGGACGACCTAGGGCCATCACTGTTGCTTCTCCTGGACCGCCTGCGGAATGAGATCACCCGGCTGCCTGCTGTCAAGGCGCTGACGCTGGTGGCCGTGTCCCCGTTGCGGCTTGACCTGCAGCCCATCGTGGCTGAGGCACTGCCCATTCTGGCCTCGTTCCTGCGGAAGAACCAACGGGCGCTGCGGCTGGCCACGCTGGCTGCCCTGGACTCCCTGGCCCAGAGCCAGGGACATAGCCTCCCACCGAGTGCCGTGCAGGCAGTACTGGCCGAGCTGCCTGCCCTGGTCAATGAGAGTGACATGCATGTGGCCCAGCTGGCCGTGGACTTCCTTGCCACAATGACCGAGGCCCAGCCAGCCTCCTTGGCCAAGGTCAGCGGCCCTGTGCTCTCGGAGCTGCTGCGGTTGCTGCGCTCACCCCTGTTGCCTGCCAGCGTGCTGGCCACTGCTGAAGGCTTCCTGCAGGCCCTGGTGGGGACCCGCCCCCCGTGCGTGGACTACAAGGAGCTCATCCGCATGCTCACGGCACCTGTCTATGACCAGGCCGCAGAGGGGGGGCCAGGCTTACACAAGCAGGTGTTCCACTCTCTGGCTCGGTGTGTGGCAGCCCTGGCAGCCGCTTGTCCCCAGGAGGCGGCAGGCACAGCAAACCGCCTGGTCTGCGATGCCAGGTCACCCCACTCAAGCACAGGGGTCAAGGTCCTGGCGTTCCTGTCGCTGGCCGAAGTGGGCCAGGTGGCCGGGCCAGGCCCCCAGCGGGAGCTGAAGGCAGTGCTCCTGGAAGCCTTGGGGTCACCCAGTGAGGACGTGAGGGCGGCCGCATCCTATGCGCTGGGCCGCGTGGGTGCCGGGAACCTGCCCGACTTCCTGCCTTTCCTGCTGGGGCAGATCGAGGCTGAGCCCCGGCGGCAGTACCTGCTCCTGCATGCACTCAGGGAGGCCCTGGGTGCTGCCCAGCCCGACAGCCTGAAGCCCTACACTGAGGACATCTGGGCCCTGCTCTTCCAGCACTGTGAGGGCGCCGAGGAGGGCACCCGGGGGGTGGTGGCTGAGTGCATCGGCAAGCTAGTCCTCGCAAACCCTCCATTCCTTCTGCCCCGATTCCGGAAGCAGCTCGCTGCAGGTAGGGGCACAGGCATGGGCGAAGACCGTTCTAGCTCAGAAGTAGGCAGTTTGCATCTGAGCCGCCCACTCAGAGTGAGCTAATTCAAGCAACTGGGTCAGAGAGTCGCAGTGTGGATAAGGTGAAGGCAGGGGAGCCTTTTAAACCCAGTGTTTTCAGAGACTTGCTGCCTCTACCTGGGGGACTCTTTGGGGTAGAGGAGAGAGAAACCTTAATATGTCCCCTCAAAAAATAAGCCTTTCATGGTGCCATTTTTGTACTCCTTGGCATGGACCATAGTGTTGTGCTCTAGTTGAAAGTTAATAAAAGCAGTTCTCTGCCTGAAGAGAGTGCACCTCTCTTGGGCTACTTGGAGCCAGGAACAAATGTCAGTGTAGACCAGTACTGGGGGCCATATCCCTCAGGATTTGGGGGGTGGGGGACATCCAGCAAAAACCAGGGCAGGTTTTGTGTGGTCAGGCAAGGGCATGTCCAGGCATTCTGAAGCTCGGAGGAAGAAAGCAGACAGGTGGGACTGTGGGGCTCTTGGGCATGTGGAAGCCTGGAGAAGGAAAGGCCTCCAGGCCTTGAGCTGGTCTGCTGGCTTGCTGATAGGGTCAGTGGATGTATGCATTGACAGAATTCAGGCAAAATGCTGGGTGCATAGTGCATGGTGTGTAATTAACACTAAAGGAGTAACTGCTGTCATTGCTGTTAGTGATTACAGTTAAGCCCTGACTAGGATGCTGGGTTAAGAAGCAGCAGCTAACTCTGTGGCTCACAGCACTGTGTGGACAGGAAGAACATATCGAGAACCTTGCCTGTGATACTCACAGGGCTCTTCATGAGGAACCTTGAGAGGCCAGAATCTTGGGATGAGGAGCAGCTCTGCCATTCCCCAGCTCCGGTTTGTTTCTACCTCATGCACACTGTTGAGCCACCTAACCACTCACATTTCCTTTTTAGCCACCTGGAAGCTTGGAGCCAAATTTGTGGCATGCTCCTAGCAAGTTTGTGGGACTTCCTAGTTGGCTCTCCCTGCCCTCACTTTAGTCCTCCTCTCACTTCCCTACCTATATTTTTCCTCAGCCTCATTTTTTTTTTCATTTTATTTTATAGTTAAATTTTTTTTTTAAGATTTTCTTTATTCATTTGCCAGAAAGAGCACACAAGCAGGAGGAACAGCAGGCAGAGGGAGAAGGAGAAGCAGGCTCCCCATTGAGCAGGGAGCCCAACATGGGACTCGATCCCAGGACACTGGGATCATGACCCATGCCGAAGGCAGATGCTTAACCAACTGAGCCACCCAAGTGTCCCTTTAATTAATTTTTTTTTTAAGATGTATTTTTTAGAGAGAGAGAGCATGTGCAGAGAGGAGAATGAGAGGGAGAATCGTAAGCAGACGTCCCACTGAACAGGGAGCCCAACAACAGGGCTCAATCCCATGACACTGAGATCAAGACCGAAACCAAGAGTAGGACATTTAACTAACTGAGCCACGCAGGCGCCCCATCATTTTCCTCATTTCAAATTCACTTAATCCTGTTCTATTGCCCATGTCTTCATCGGCCACCCTGAATATTCTTAGGAGCCAGTCAGCATAGAGAGAGTAAGAGGGGAAAAGCTGCAAGTCTAAAGTCACTAACTCATTTCCTTATTCACACCCTGGTACCAAATGTAAACTTCTTCCCCAAGTCTCAAATGTAAAGTCTGCATGATGGAAACAACCTTAACCCATCACTGCCGAGTGCTGGGGAGGAGAGGAGCGAGCCCCTCTGATTTGTTCCTTTCACCAAAACGGGAGGTATATTTCCTTCTCTTTCTTCACCTTCTCTACTTGGCAGGCAGAAAAGTAAAATTAAGTGTCTTCTCCATTACCAAGCTTCGGGGGTGTTCTGAATTCTGTTGGTATCCCCTTGGCCTTCAGCTTGCGTGGCCTTCAGCACACCTGCCGCTGCCTGAGGGATGCAGGCCTGAGGAGGAGGGCCCTGCTATGGCTCAGAATCAGCCGTTGAATTTTGGATCTGCTCTGTGACCTTAGATGTGAACTTAACCTTTCTGGGTCTTTTTCCTCTTCTTATAAAATAGAGATAAATAATTTTTATGAAACATTTTGATCTATCTTACCATTTATTAACTAATTTACACAACCATCCTGAGGATTAATTGAGATAATGTGTCTGAAAAATAGAACACAGCCGTAAGGCCTGAGCAAAGGCCTTTGGGCTGTGGATTGACCACTGTCTTGAGTTCTTGGTTCCCTGTTTGCATCCTGCAGTGTGTTACCTGAGAACTGGGAGTTTTCCTGTCAGTCACAGCAGAGAGAATTTAGGGATAAATTTTAGGCTGCCAAGGGAAATGGGAGCATTGACTTCGCCAAAGAGGGGTGGGGTCCTGTTTTGTCTCCTGGGGAGGCAGAGAGCCTTGGTGCCTTCTGACTTGTGGGTATCCAGGGTCCGCCCTGCCACTCACCAAGCGGATTCCTCTCATCCTGCAGGTCGGCCACACACGCGGAGCACAGTTATCACAGCAGTCAAGTTCCTCATCTCTGACCAGCCCCATCCTATTGATCCCCTCCTGAAGAGCCTCATTGGTGAGCACCCCTTCCCTCTGCCTCCAGCCCCATTCAGTACCCCCTCCCAGCCTTTGAGCCTGAGCTGACTTTTCTTACACATGAGTCAAGGGGAGTTGGAGACCCAGGAGACTACCTCACTCCCCTGACTGGAAGTAGGAGCCTGGGTTCAAATCCCTCTGCTGGCACTGAATCACTGGGTAAGCCTAGCATGCCCCTTCTCACCTTTGAGCCTTAGTTTCCTCCTCTGTAGAATGGGGATAAGGTTCTGAGGTTATTTCAGAGACCCTATCCATTACTGAGAGGAAGGTACTCCCTGAACATGCAGGCTATTATAAGTGGAAAACCACCAGCCTCTCACGTGCATTGGCCTCAGCGGGCACAAAGCTGAGTAGGGCTGCATTGGAGTGGGGAGCATGCACTGGAGTGGGGAGCAGCTTACCCCTGTCTGAGGAACCCTCTGTCTTGAGGAGACCAAGTAGCCTTTATTGATGACCCCTCTCCTTGGGGCTTTGTGGGACCAGGCTCTTCCTAGAGAAGGCAGACATTCAAAGCTCCGAGTCTGCAGGCCTGTCACTGGACCACACTGGCATCTGGCCCTTCTCCTCCAGGCAGCCTCGTGGAATGTGGGGAGTCTTGGGTTGGCAGCCTGGTTCTCTGCTTCTCTCTGGCTGTGTGAGCATGGACAGATCATCTCATCCTGAGCTATTAAATGGGAGTGTTGATCCCCACTTGCCAGGGCACTGTTGGGTGAGATTAGGGGTCAGCAGACATGGCCATGCTCGGGATTGGAGAACACGTCCAGAAGCCACAGCAATGTCCGCAGCAACTTCATCCCCTCCGCTGGGGCACACACACTGCCGCCAGTCCTGACTTTCCTCATCGTGCCTGAGTTGCCCATGCCTGGCAGCCTGGACGTGTGCCTGGGTGTTTGGTTCTTATTGTATGATTGAACCAGTTCTCAAGCTCTCACTATGTATCAAGTACAAGGCTATGTCCTTTAATACACCTCACCGCAGTTCACTCTCACAGCTCCCTGCATGGCATGTAGGCCCAGCCACATCTTACAGATGAGGAAGCAGAGGCTCAGGGTGGAGACTTGGACTCAGGTCTTGCCAGCTACCCCACAGCTGTGTTCTCAGAGAGAATGGGGGAATCTAGGAGCCAGCAGGGCACAGTGCAAGGGGCCAGAGGTTGCCAACTCAGTCTGAATCCTACTCTGCTGAAAGACTTTACATTCTTCCCAGTGCATCATATTGGCAGTTTGCCCCTTGACGGGTCTTGGTAACTCTGATCACCTGGTTAAGATGGAGACATCCAGTTTTCACCACTCTAAAATTACTTTTTCCTGGAGCACCTGGGTAGCACGGTCAGTTGGATGACTGATTTTTTATTTTGGCTCCAGTCATGATCCTGGGGTCGTGGGATCGAGACCCACATCAGGCTCCACACTCGGCATGGAGTCTGCTTGGGACTGTCTCTTTCCCTCTGCCCCTCCCCTACTTCTCTCTCAAATAAGTAAAATCTTTAAAATTACTTTTTGCTTTGGAATGAGTAAGTGTTTTTGAATCTGTTGAAATATCCTCTTCATCATGTTTCCTTTTTAAAAAAAAAGATTTTATTTATTTATTTGAGAGAGAAAACAAGCAGGGGGAGAGGCAGAGTCAGAGGGAGGAGCAGACTCCCTGCTGAGCAGGGAGCCCAATGTGAGGCTCGATCCCAGAACCCTGAGATGATGACCTGAGCTGAAGGCAGAGGCTTAACCCACTGAGCCACCCAGGCGCCCCTTCTTCAAACTTCTGCCCACTGCACTGAGCATCCATTGTGGTTTCTTTCCTGCCTCAGTGATTTCTGACAGTTGGCAAATGCTGACTTCCAATTCCAGCATTCCTTTCATATTTGTTAGTTTGCCTTCTGTTCTCTGGAATATAACTTTTCCTTCTCACCCACTTATTTTTTTTTTTTTTTTTAAAGATTTTATTTATTTATTTGACAGAGAGAGATCACAAGCAGACAGAGAGAGAGGAGGAAGCAGGCTCCCCGCAGAGCAGAGAGCCCAACGCGGGGCTCGATCCCAGGACGCTGAGATCATGACCCGAGCCGAAGGCAGCGGCCTAACCCACTGAGCCACCCAGGCGCCCCTCTCACCCACTTATTTATTCATTGATTTATTCATGTCATTATAGACTCATGGATTCCTGTTTCATTCAGTGAATTGTAATTTATTATTGTCTTCATTTATTTGACTCTCATGCTTGTCTTAGGTGTGGCCAGTGGGGGCCCTTCAGTCTGGTTCCAAGGTTCTATTGGCATGTTTTCATCGTCCTTTGAACATATTCTGGCTTTTTGGCACAATAAGATGCTCTAGACTCACCTTGAACCTTTCCTGCCCCAGCTCAGGAATTGGCCATTTCTCCAGGGAGTCCTGATTCCTTTGAGGGGAGAATGATACTTAGGACCCAAACCTGGACTCTAGGTGTGCTCATTGCTACTGGGGTGCCACCGCTGTGAGGCCCTCAGCACACAGAGCTGAGGAGTGTGTGTGTGTGTGTGTGTATGAGTGTATGTACACAGACAGACACACATGGACATGAGTTACCTCCTCTCCAGTCCAGCACTGCAGGGTTCCCCCTAGCCTCCTTCCTTCCCATTCCATACCCTTCTCTTACAGGGTGAAACTCACCTCCTACTACCTATAAGATATGTATTCTGGAATACACAGAAAGTAGACTGAGAATTGCTAAACTTTATAGCTGAAAAGTCAGCATTTGTTTGTAGGGCTGTTTGTCCTTAGCTTGAGGGTGTCTAACCAAAATACCTCGGAAGTTACTTGGTGACTTGTTTCACTCTCTCATAACCTGATGGTTATGTTAATCATTTGAAATATAGTTAGGGGTTTGGTTGTTGTTATTTTTTATGCTTTTCTTTCGGGACTCACCTTATTCTTGATTTTATTTACTTACAGAGCATATGGAACATTAATGTAGTTATTAAAAAGTCTAAACTGTATAAAAAGTCATACTCAGAGAAGTGCTGTGTGAATGTGTAAGTTTCTTCACCTCTTTGATCTCCAAGAGCCCTATCTATAATAATATCAAGTTACCATTTATAGAGTCCTTGGTCCATGCCAGGCCGTCTTCCATGTATTTATATTTTATATAGATTTAGTTTATGTAAATAAATATGTACTGTGTATAATAAAAATTTATATTATATATATATATATAATATATATATCACATCACTACATTTTAAATCTTAAAAACAGATCTCCACTATGGTACAGCTCTTACTCCCATTTGATAGATAAGATACTGAGGCTATCCAAGGTCCCATAGTTAGGCAGTTGTGGAACCTGTATTTGAACCCTGCCAGACTCTAGTTCACATTCTTATCTGGGCTCTGAGGACTTGTGCCTGGCAAAAAAGTAGATGCTCAGAACACGTTTGCCCCCATTCAGCCAAGTCTGCCCATTAAGCAGGTAATTGAGGTCAGGGGTGGAGGTGGTCTGTGTCTTGGCCCAGCCGTCCCCACACCCCTTCTCATCCTTCCATCAGGAGAGTTTATGGAGAGCCTGCAGGACCCGGACCTGAACGTGCGCCGGGCCACCCTGGCTTTCTTCAACTCGGCTGTGCACAACAAGCCCTCGCTGGTCCGGGACCTGCTGGATGACATCCTGCCCCTCCTCTACCAGGAGACGAAGATCCGTAGGGACCTCATTCGAGAGGTGAGGCCGGAGAGGCACAGAGCAGGAAGCCCTGGGCCTGACCAGTGGGGCTCTGGCAAGGATTCAGGTCACCTGGCGCCTAGGTCAAGTCCCACTCCTCCACTTCCCAGTTGTATGACCCTGGGCATGGGAGCATAGGACTATTTCATCCACTCTGAGCCTCAGTTTTCTTCTTGGCACAATGAGGAGACTAATTTGTATCTGCATCAGAGCGTTGTGGAGGAGATTCCATGAGTTATGTCCTGCAGGGGCTCAGAACTGCTCCTGGAGCACCATCGGCCTCAGTAAGTGTTGGTGCTTCTTACTATCACTCAGCAATCAGCAGGGGTTCACTGAGGGCCAGGCCGGTGTCAGGGTGACAGGATCAGAGCTGGACCAGACATGGTGTCTGCCACCAGGGAGCTCCTGCCCTCCTCAGGGACGGAGGCACCCATTCTGCCAATTATTTCACTGACTTAAATCCTTAAACAAGGTTTTAAGGAGCAGAGATTAAAGGTGACTTAGCAGCTGTCATCACATGATATAATAAAAAGGTTTGAACCACCTGGCATTGCTGACGAGGAAGTGACTGTGTTTAGAGGGGTTTGGAAAGTTTCCCAAAAGAGGGGATCTTTAATGGGGGTTTGAGGGGTGAGAAGCAGTTTACCATTAAGCACAGAGCCTTGTGGTTAAAAGCTCCAGAGACCTGGGTTTTTTAATTCTAGTTCAGCTACTCTCTAGCTGTATGTTCTTGGGCGAGTTAATTAACCTCTTTGAGCCTAGTTTCCTCATATTTTAAATGGGGTTATTGGTAATACTGTCTCCCTAGGGCTGTTGTGATGCTTGAGTAAAATGTCATTTGTCAAGCACTCAGCACAGTGGTTGGCATCTTATCACTGCTCCGTAGACCATAATAATTATTGTTACTGGTTTTTTTTAAGATTTTACTTATTTATTTTAGAGAGAGAGGGTGGGTGTAAGCGAGCTGAGGGAGAGGGAGAGAGAATCTGAAGCAGACACCAGGCTCAGTGTAGAGCCTGATACGGGGCTCCATCCCGCAACCACAAGATCATGACCTGAGCTGAAACCAAGTCAGACACTTAAAACCGACTGAGCCACCCAGACACCCACGTTACTGTTATCATCGGAGGACATTGCAGGCTGAGCAAAGGCAAAAGGCTTGAGAGTACGAGGCTTGATTCGGCGACAGAACACAATACCTAACAAGGGAGGTGGGGTATGCAGCAGGGACTGAGGGAGGTGTCCTTACACCCTAGAGTCCCATCCCATAACCCTCGTCATCCTTCTGTCCTGCAGGTGGAGATGGGGCCCTTCAAGCACACGGTGGACGACGGGCTGGACGTGCGGAAGGCAGCCTTTGAGTGCATGTACTCGCTGCTTGAGAGCTGCCTGGGCCGGCTGGACATCTGCGAGTTCCTGAACCACGTGGAGGATGGCCTGAAGGACCACTATGATATCCGGGTAGGACAGGCCCCCCGGCCAGGACAGCACCCACCCCGTACCAAGGGGACAGGCGAGCATCACTAGGGCCCACTGCTTGTTTGTCCCCCACTCTCCACCCCAGGCACCCCCATGAAGATAACAGCATTGTTATCTCTCTCTCTCTTTTTAAAAAGATTTTATTTATTTATTTGACAGAGTTCATAAGTAGGCAGAGAGACAGGCAGATGGTGGGGGAAGCAGCCTCCCTGCTGAGCAGAGAGCCGGATGTGGGGCTCGATCCCAGAACCCTGAGATCATGACCAACCGGAAGGCAGAGACTTTCACCTACTGAGCCACCCAGGCGCCCCTCTCTTTTTTTTTTTTTTTTTTTTTTTAGTATTTTATGTATTATTTGATGGAGAGAGCAGGGGGTGGGGCAGAGGGAGAAGCAGACTCCTCACTGAACAGGGAGCCTGGTGTGGGACTCTATCCCGGAACCCTGGGATCCTGGCCTGAGCTGAAGTCAGATGCTTAACTGACTGAGCCTGGTTTTTTTCCTGATTATCAATCAGGAAAAGAGCCAAGCTGGGGTGCCTGGGTTGCTCAGTGGGTTAAGCCTCTGCCTTTGGCTCAGATCATGGTCTCAGGGTCCTGTGATTGAGCCCCGCATCCGGCTCTCTGCTCAGCAGGGAGCCTGCTTCCTCCTCTCTCTTTGTCTGCCTCTCTGCCTACTTATGATCACTCTCTCTCTCTCTCTCTCTCTCTCTCTCTGTCAAATAAATAAATAAGTAATCTTTTAAAAAACAGATAGAGAGCCAAGCTCTCAAAACACCTTTGGTGGGAGTCTACACTGGGCGAGCTCTTTGGAGAATGGTTTAGCCGTAAGGAGAAACATTTAGAATTCTTCGACACATTCTTGACCTAGCAGTTCCATCTCCATAAACAGAGCCTTTCGACTCACTCCTCGAAATGTGTTTGGAGTTTCTGTGTTCAAGATTGCTCTTCCCAGCTCTGTGGGGGTTGGAGAAAGCTGGTGGCTTCCTGAATGTCCACCCATCAATGGGCTGGGTACCTCTGGTCATGGAATGCTGGCCGCACTGAGAAGAGTGAGCCAGTCCCTTCGCACTAATGTGAGAGATGGCCAAGCCCCACTGTTGATTGATAAAAGCCAGTTGTTTTTACAGGCATTTTCCCCCACGCTATCCTGTTCTCACCCATTCTGGCCCCATCATCCTCTTGTCTGTCCTCCCAGGAGCACGGGACAGGGCCTGACATCAGTGCCACATTTGGACCCCAGTGTCCGGGCTCCCTCTGGTGTTGAGGAGGGTGGGTATGACATGTCTTGAGCCCCCAGAGTTATCTTGTTGAGTCTATACCGTAACCTTGGATGGTGTTGCCCACTTTACAGGGGTGGGTTCAAGGGCACCAGCTGGGCAGTGGAGGAGCCCTGGGTCACAGCTCAGTGTAATGCTTGTGCTGTGTAATGCTGTGTTCTTTGCTGCTGTTGCCCTGGTCACCCTCCTTTGCCATGGGTTGTGGGGGGATCAGGGCAGGATAGACAATGGAGGGGTTGGGTAGGGCATGTAGAATCCAGACAACCATCCTTTATGGTTTGGAGCACTGACTGACCATTTTCCCAAGAAAACTTGACCATTTTCCCAAGAGGTCAGCATTAGTCTCCAGCAGGCTGCATCCAGGCCTGTGGATGTGTTTAATTGGCTCACACAGTAGTTTGTTTGTTTGTTTGCTTTTTAACTGCATGTCAACATTTAAAAGTTGAGAGATCTTCCATGAAAATCAGAGTGTCTTTGGAAAGTAGGCTGTCAGCCGGGGCCACATTCCCACAGCCACAATTGGCTGGAGCTGAGAGCTGTGGTCTGGAGTATGGGCTCTTGACTCCTGCCCAGTTGCCCTCTGGCCCTGTTCACTCATGGCCAGTTTCTGCCTGACCCTGTGGTCATCAGAGCTGGAGAATCACCCCCTCCCTGGTGCCTCTTCTGATCTGATCCTCCCCGGGTCAGTCAGACATGGGAGCCATTGCCACTCACAGTTTATAGATAAGGAAACTGAAGCCCAGAGCAGGAGAGACTCGGGGAGGGCCCTGGTGGGAATTAGTGCTAGAGTTTGGACCTGAGCTCCAAGTGTTGGGACCAGAGCCTCTGATATTCCATGGCCTCTGCTCCTTTTGGTCCTGGGCCATTTCACCATGAACTCTGTCTTCTTCCTTCTGGGTAGATGCTGACCTTCATCATGCTCGCCCGACTGGCTACCCTGTGTCCCGCACCCGTTCTGCAGAGAGTGGACCGGCTCATTGAGCCACTCAGGGCCACCTGCACCGCCAAGGTACCTCCTTCCCCCTACCCCACTTAGCGCTGGGCACACCTGCAGATTGCTTACAGTTACCCTTTATAGGTGGTGTATGAAGGGCTTCATTTCATTGTTGTCGTCCTTCTTAGTGTAAGGCACTTCTTATTGTCACCACTGTATACACAGGGGAGCAGAGACTCAGAGAGGTGAAGTGATGGACCTAGGTTACCCAGCTAGTAAATTGCAGAGCTGAGATTCAAACCCGGCTGTTTCTTTCATTCATTAAACATTTCCTGGGTGCTGGGCCTCGTTACAAGGTACTAGGGATACAACATTGAACCTGGTGGGTTCCCCACTCCCAAATCCTTTTTTTTTTTTTTAAGATCGTATTTATTTATTTGAGAGAGAGCAAGAGAGCGAGCGAGCATGAAGGGGGTAAGGGCAGAGGGAAAAGCAGATTCCCCACTGAGCAGGGAGCTTGACGTGGGGCTCCATCTCAAGACTCAGGGATCATGACCCAAGCTGAAGGCACACGCTTAATCAACTTAGCCACCCAGGCTCCCCCCTACTCCCACATCCTAATTGGGAAACTGAGTGAGACTCTTGGAAAGATAGAAACCATTGATTGGTTGATTGATAAAGGGCAGGGTTGCTGATAAGCTAGAGTGCCTCAAGGATCCAGGGGAGGGATTCGGAGCCAGAGACCTGGAGGCAACATGCAGTGTTGGGAACAGAGCCTGGCATACCCAGGGGGTGGGTATCCAGTAATTACCTGGTGACTAAAATAACTAACTTGGATTTTGGAAGGGTAGGAATTAACCAAAGTGGTAGAGTATTTCAGTTTGGAGCTTAAGGAGGAGAGATACCCACAGAACAGTGATTTTCAAGTAGCAAAACCTTTTCCAATAAAATAAAATCTTCTGTGGATAAAACATTAAAATTGGTGGTTTCTTAATAGATAGAAACCTGCCTTGTAAGTTTCCCTTTGTAACATATGTGGGTATGAAGTCAAAAGAAGCTGTGTTTCTGCAGGACTCTTGCAGGCTTGACCGTTTCAGTGGCCAAATCATTTCTAATTTTCTTTGAGCTGTTTGGCATGAAGAAGGATCGCAGTTCCCAGGGAAGGACTGCAGACCCCCCTTCACTCAGCCCAGATAGCAAGAGGAGCTTCAATCTGAGGCCCACATATAGGCCACTCGGAATGGCTGCAGAGGACGCTGTTTGTCAGGCACTGAGATGAGAACTTGCTGCATCTGTGTCCACAATCCCTCATCTTGCTGAAACCTACAAAGCTCTGGAACTCGTTTGGCAACAAAACTTGACTTGAACTGGCCTGAGGCTATTTATGGCTTTTCTCTCTTGCTGTGACACGCATAATATTCTTTCATTTTTCATATAGTAGGGGAAATATTCATGTATTTGATTACATGATATTGTACCACGTTGTCTGCACACTATCCCTTTTCTAACACTCGCCCCCCTCCCCGCCCCACCTGCCAAATCCTGAATTCCAAAAGCACACCTGGCCCCAGGGGATGTGGACCTGTGTTAAGCCATTTAACCCTCAAAGCAACTCTATGGAAAGGAGGCTCTTCCATACAGAAAGGGAAGTGAAGCTCGCAGTGACAACCTGAAGTCGCAGTGCTTACAGGGCAGAGCATTCAAACCCAAGACTGTCCAACCCCAGTGCTAAGCTCTTAATCTCTACACTGGAATCTTGAGGGGGAAGAGTCTTTGTCTGGGCCAAGTCAGCAGCCTCAAGAGTAATCCGGACTTTATTTCATAAGGAGAGGGGCAGTTCCGAGATTCTCTAAGTGGGAGAGGGTGGGGGATGAAGATACAAGACAGGCAAGGCAGTGTGAGGGGTTTCCTGCACAGACTAACATGCCGGAGCAGGCACCCGAGGGGGGGGGGGGGGCGGACGAGGCCAGCAAGGTGACTGTCATGGTGATCCAGTCATTGAGTTAAGTCATGGTTCCAAGAGTCTGTTTTAAGCACAGTAAGAAAAGGTAGGCTGAATCCTGTCAGGGGAAGGAGATAACTAACTGAACACTTTACAGCATTTATCACCATCCAGTTATTTATTAATAAAAAGAAAGGTGGGCAGTTTAGACTGGTTGGTTGGAGGCCCCCTAGGTGACCTTGAGGTTGATTTAATGACAAAATAATCCCCCTCTGGGGAAACCCACTGGGGTAAATGCGCAGAAGAAACCTCAGGAGGCTGGATCCACAGTGCGCTGTGGTTTAAACTGGGAAGGATACAGGTGGTTGGGACGAATCCAGAGACCAGTGAGGGAGCTGTGGTGTGATGCTAAGTTCAGTAAAGGATGGCTTGTTGTTTTCCTACTTTAGGTCAAAGCTGGTTCTGTGAAGCAGGAATTTGAGAAGCAAGACGAGCTGAAACGCTCTGCGATGAGGGCAGTGGCCGCCCTGCTGACCATCCCAGAAGTAGGGAAAAGCCCCATCATGGCTGACTTCTCTTCCCAAATCCGATCCAACCCCGAACTTGCTGCCCTCTTTGAAAGCATCCAGAAGGATTCTGCTTCAGCCCCCAACACAGACTTGATGGAGCTCAGCTAGTACCACCCAACTCTGCCCCCAGGTGGGCCCTTAAGAGGAGGCCTACCCAAGCCCGAGGCCTCACTGTCCCCCTGCCCACCACAGGCTTCTATACTTTTGCCCTTTTGTCATCTCACTGGGGGCCCTCCTGCTCCTGGTCGGGGCTTACAGTGCCTTCTCCAGGGACCCCCAACTCAAGGCCCCTAGCAGGAGCTGCAAGGCTGCCAACAGTTGGGCCCTTTAACTCAGGACAGTCATTCAAAGAAACAGGGCACAGACATTTTCCAAGCCCTTCCACACAAACATAGATGTGTGACTTCACACAGGGCGGTCTGTACCTTCAAAGCGGGGAGTCCCTGCCTCACTAAAGACTAAGTAGTGTTTAGAAATACTCTTATGCTCACAGCTGCGGAAGGTTAGGAGACAGCCGGCTGGCCTCCCTGCCCACCAGTGTCCCAGATTTGTCACTCACACCTCTCCCTCTCTTCACTTGATCTGATAGGCCAAACATTAGTGCTGGGTGGGCATCTTAAAGAGTCAAGCTACTTCTCTGAGCTTTTAACATTTTAGAATTCAAAATGCTTTACTTTCTAATTGGCAGTAATGAATCTGAATTTTTTTTGCAGGGGTAGGGGGACCAGGATAGGGAATTAGATCTAGTTTGTTTTTTTTCTAATTTCGAAACTCTTATGTAGCCAACTGGGAAATAAGTACCAAGAAAGTACAGACCATCTTTCATGTCACCCACCTAGGTGTCAACAGTTGGGTTTGTGTCCTGAGGAAGACTTTGAACATGTTGTTTCTAGTTTTTAGTATTGAAGACACAAATATTAAACAATAGGCTAAAGAATTTTCTGTGCTATCCCAGGTTAATAAAGGACAGACCTAGTGTTACTTTTTCTGTGCACACTTCCTCTACTCAGTAGACCACTGTCTGTATACTTCCCAAGTCAATTTAAAGAAATCATGGAAACAACCCAACAACTCAAATGTTTCAGACTAGGCTTTGAACTGGATGGAGGCGGGCAACCTGTGATTTACCCCAGTTTAAGGGACTTAAATCCACTCATGGCTAGCATGCCAAGAAAATTAAGCAGGCTATTTCTGCTCAGTTGACCAGGCTGGTAGGGAAAATAAGCAATTGTCTTGTTCTTGAGTACCTCATGCCACATCCCCAACTATACTGCCCTTCGCTGCCAGTTCTTAGATTAAGTGCTATCATAACCTTACAGACCTCTTTCTTGTGCTTTGCAAATGCATTTTTTTTTTTTTTTTTACAAAATGAAGGTTTGTGGCAACCCTGTGTTCAGCCAAATCTATCAATACCATTTTCCCAACAGCATTTGCTCGCTTCCTGTCATATTTTGTTAATTCTAAGACTATTTCACTTTTTCATGGTTATGGTGATGTGATCATTGAGGTTACTGCTTGTGCCTGAAGATGTGACTGAACTGCTGCAATCTCGCGAGAAGACTTTAATGGAATTGCTTCTTATGAGCAAAAAATTTGTTGAGATGGGATCCACTCCTCAAGATGCTGGATTGTTGAAATGACAACAAAGAACTGAAGAACATTACATCAACTTAGTTGATGAAGTAGTGGTAGGGTCTGAGGAGATGGGACTCCCGATTTTGAAAGCTCTCTGGGTGAAGTGCTAACAGTATCATGCTACAAAGAAATCATTCTTGACTCAGTCAATTTCATGGTCTTCATTTTAAGAAACTGCCACAGCCACCCCAGCCCTCAGCAGCCACCACCCTGATCAGTCAGCTGCCATCAACATGGAGGTTAAGACCTTCCACCAGCAAAGATCACAACTCAAAATATGCTTAGCACTTTTGCACTAGATGGTTAGCATTTTTTGCAATAAACTTCTTTTTAAATTAAGGTATGAATTGTCTAGACATGCTATTGCACATAATAAATTATAACAGTATAAACTTTTATATGCACTCAGAAACCAGAAAATGCATTTGATTTGCTTCATCAGTGGTTTGAAACCAAACTGCAGGGTCTCGAGAAGTATGCCTGTAATTCACATAGCTAAATTCTAGCTTTTGCGGCCTAAGGTTTAGGGCTGTAGTCAAAAAGGCAGCTTGATTGTTAAATCCTGAGTACCAATCAAGAGGCCCAATGAGGTTAAGAATCCCAGCCTTCAGAAACTGCTATTAAGTTACCTGAAGCAGCAAGCTGGGGGAGGGTTATAAAAGGGAGACCGTAAGTTATCTTCAGACATCCAAGGCTAATCGTAGAGGGATTTGTGCATCATCCTGTCATGTTTTTGTTCAGAGGCTACCTCACAAGAACTACATACAATGACCATCATCCAAATTTACCAAGTGAGGCTAAGGATGACTACTTGCTCTGAGCTGCAAGGTCCTTCAAAGGTCTTAGAATGTTCCTTGGTCTGAGCCCAAGTCTCTCCCAGCCCCAACTGGAGCTGATAAAGCTACTCTGGGCACCAGAGGCCTGTGCCCTATGAAGAATGAAGTATCCTTATAAACAACCCCTTCCAAATGGAGGATTCCACAGAGCATTAATGGGCAAAAGAATAATCTCCATGAACAAGCTCTCATGGTAAGACACCAAAGAGGGAAATGCCAGATGGTAGTTTTATGGTTTTATTAACACAAATATGACGTGCACAACAAGCTGTCTATTCATTTTCTTCACTGCGCAGCCTGGCGTTGGGATTGGTGACTCTGATTGCCAGCTGGGCTGCTCTTTCCACAATAGCTTTGCGGTTCTTGGAGGAGACGTTGTGAGCAATCTCTGCACAGTAAGATCTGGAAGAGAAGCAGTTGGTGAGTATGGAGCAAGCCAGATGAACACACGCTCTGGAGTTTCCCTGGGAGGGCAGCAGTTCTGGGTCACATCACCTCCAGAGCCACAGCACAGAGCCATGAGGGCTCTGGCAAAGTTGATGAACAAGACCCACACAGTCCCAAATCCTAACTTTCCTAAATTCCATGGTACCAGCAGTAGGACTCTTCAAGTATTTACTGATAGTGACAGAAGTACTCCCTGTCCCCTCATTTAATCCTTACAAGCAGCCTTGTAATCCAGGTATTGCCTCCTCTTACAGACAAACCATGACCCTTAAAGGTGCAAGTGAATTCCCAAGTAAGATATTTAGAAATGGACAGGGCTAGGATGGCTCAGTCCCAGATTCCAAGTTCAAATCTTCTCCCCCAATCCTTTCACAGTCAATCTGCCCAACACAGGGCAGTCTCAGGGAGCTTGGACTTGCCCATTAAGTTCTTAAACTCTCTGCAAAGCAAGAGGAGAATCCAACAGTCTGATTAAGCCATGGGTTTCCTGGCCCAGACATTAACATTTTACTTGACTGCTGCAGACAAAATTCAAACTGAGAAGTAACATTGCCTGAAGTCACCCCGCTGAGTATCTGGCTAGCAGATACTGTTCTAATCTACTCATTCCTCACAGCTGCACCAGGCCCTAGTGGTAACAAATTGGCCTAATGAGAACATTTCAGTGAAGTTATGACACCATCAAGAGCTGATTAAGAAAAGACACTCTCAGGGCATCTGACTGGCTCAGTTGGTATAGCATGGGACCCTGAGATCAAGAGTCACACACTCTACCAAATGAGCTAGCCAGGAGCCCCCAAAATAAAAATCTTAAAAAGGACACTCTACCCCTGGAGGAATTTCAGCAAAGACCGAAAGAAAGCTCTAAGGAATGACTAAATCAGGCAATGAACATACATAAGTTCTTTTTAAGAACTCTAGCAAAATAGCTTAAGTGTGAGACAAGCAAACCCAAAGAATTTTTATCTTCTATAAAGGAGTCCACTCAAGCTCAAAGTAGCTGTATTTTGAAATGTTCCAATAATCTTTTTCAACACTGAAAGCTTTTTCCAAAAATACCTCAAGTCCATATCCACATGTGTATTTAATAACCAATCAATCACTATATGTGTTATCTTAAAATACTTCTCTCTGCCCAGGTATTTTCCCCACACATGACAATCATTTCAAATACACATGTAAAACTCCACCCAGTGCTTATACGCCCATCATTCACAAATTGTATTTTCAACTGCTCAAACTGAACAACTGTTCAGTTGTTTCAAAATGCTTTTTATTTAGGGATAAGTATCCAGAAATGGAACTTGTGGATTAAAGGTCATAGATCTCAAATATTTCTATGGCTCCAGACACAAACTGCCAAGCTATTTAAGAGTATCTTTTTGGTAACCAGCGACACCAGCACTGCAGCATTTCTGCTACACAAAAGGAACTGCATCTTTCTGTCACAATTCTCCATCCACCTAATTGGGGTTTGGGCAGCCACTCCTAATTCCTCTGTTCACCCAAGGATTTTCAAAGGAAAATTTCCAGTATCCCAACACCCAGTTAAATTCCCAACCCAGAAAACTCAACCAAAGTGAGAATGGCGGCTTCGTTTATTTCTATTACTTGTGCCTACAATCACTACAGATGAAAAGATCTTTGTAATAAGCAAGCACACACAGGTCCTATAGTCACCCTCTCCACATCCTAATTAAGAAAAGTTTTCAGCTTCTGTTTAATAGGAATAAAGAAAACCGTCCTCTGCTTTACCAAAGAAACACCATTCCCTCCAAACCAGATTCAAAGCATCCAAATCACTTCCCACATGAAATGTTTTCTCATCCTACCGCCCTAATTTTGGCCTCAGCAGACCCCAAGTCTTTCTCACAGAGCACTCATAAAGTGCCTAACTTTCTCAAAGTACTTGAAAGTAATACTGTGAACGCTTCGTGCACTCTTGCATCATCTCTACAACTTTGTGCAAGTCATCCGCTGCCTGCCAAGTCCTCCTCCTCTTCTCCATCTCAGAATAGAGCTCCTTATCAGGCAACTCGTCTATCCCCATAGCCTTCTGAAGGAAGATACCCATGGCCAAAGCACTAAGTGCCCCTTTGGTCTGAGGCTCTCTCTATATCCCCCCCCACCTCCACACAGAGCAATGCTCTGCAAAGAACTGCCAAAAGGATACCAGTGTTTGTATTACTGGGCAAAGTCCTTCTCTCTCCAG